AGATTGTTAAGTAGAGGGGTTGAAATCACTTCTATAGGTACTTACATAATTATAATGGAAGATAATGGTAACAATTTATTTTGAACTTCAACACGAAAATGTAATTGCACTCTTTCTACTTCAAAAATGTAAAAGGTTAAAAAAATAATTTAGTTTTTTTAAGCAATACGGCAAACGTGCTTTTATATTGCCAAGTTCTACACCAAAGAGTTGTAAGTGTGTGGTTAGCTTTTTTTAGTTTTTTAGGGACTATTATTGTTGATTGGACATTGAATATGGTCGGAAAGGACTGAGCCTCCAGTAACTTACGTCTCACGGCGAAATATAGCTTAAATGTTGTTTTACGAGGGCCTTAATATGTGAGTCCGTAGGACTCGGATTCAACCTACCTATTATTTTTATCTTTCTAAAGCATGGCTCTCTCACGCTTAAAACATTATAAGGAGCAATTCTATAGGTGAACACCTGCCAAAATTCTAGACAAAGTTGAGGGATTTTTTTATCATATATAAATCATTGGCAACTCAAACCAAATGTATCAGACCTGACAATTTAATCCACTTCACCGTTCGTGCAAGTGGAATAATAACAATAGGCGCAAATCCATCAGAAGAGGAACGGAATACTAAGTTAAACCCTATAAGCAGTTGGCCTTTGCTTCTGTAACTTGGTCACGAATTTAACTTTACGAAAATAAATGTTGATACTTAGCAAAATATATGGCAGGCGAGATTACTTGCTCTAAATTTATTCACAGGCGTTTTAATATAATGTATTATGGTAACATTTAGCTGTGGCAAGTATAGCAATAGCGAAGAGGTAAGATTATCGTGAAAGGATTGTGTGATAGGACGGTAATGCGGACTACCTGATGCTAAACAACCGCGAGGAGTTTCCAACCGTAGGTAATTAGTAACGAGTGCGTTGCCGACCTTTTGTAGATTTGGGTTTTGGAGATTTAGGGATCGGGGACGGCTTGGGGGAGGTTAAAGATTTGCCACTCATACGTCGAAACACAACGCTGTGGTTGTTTCACGCCGTCTTTCTGTGAGGCCGATATCACTCCGGTCGAGCCGACCCATTCGTAACGAAGCAAGACTCTCCTACACTTAAATCATTTCAATAAAATTAGTATAACTCCCAAGAGTTGCAATTAAAAAAAAATATCTAGGTATTAACACTTTGAACGCCACGTTGGTCAATAGTGCCCAACTCTAACAAAGAATTAAACCCTTCATTGATGATAGTGGTTTTATAAGATCCAATATAAACAGGTTATTTTAGGTATGGTATAATAAAATAATAACTTTATATTCCATTTATAAACGAAGCAGGTGTCACAATAACACGGTACAGCCTTCTAACCTCGACAAAGTTCAACCTCCAATGCAATTATGTCTAAATAAAATATCAGCCGGTATTCTGCAAGTCCGACTATTACCGCATTGCGGCACTTGTATAATTCAATAGACTAAAGGTAGCTTTAGATCGCTGTGAAGCGATGTTGGAAAAATGCGAGACGTTTATCTTTTTATGTGTTAATCGAGTCACAATAGTAATCGAGTTAACTTTGCCATGGTGTTGAATAATTTTAAGTAGTGTAAGGACATTTTGAATCACTAGTAGTGTCAATTTTTTTATGTACAAATGTCTGTAACGTCGTGTTCGCGTTAATAATATTTGTTTCATTGTTTGCATAGCTTGGTACAGTTCTCTAATATTGGATACTTGTTACTCATTTTAGTTCTGCTTGTATGTACTTATCCTATCATTATTTAAGGAACGTTGTGAATGTCCTAGTAATGTAAAAAAATGTACTTTAAGTGTTATCTACACAGAAGCTGTTGGTAAAACTTTTTAATAAATAAATACATTTGATGAATAATTACCAGAAAGTTAGGTATTCATATTATTTTTTCTTTCTATTAATATTAATCTGTAGATACTAATATTACAAAGCTGAAGAGTTTGGTTGTAGTTCAAATGCGCTAATCTACGGCACTGCTGCTTCAAATTGAACAATTCTTTTTTTTTTGTTTGTTAATCTATTTAAAACATCACGCTACGATCTGTAGGAGCAGAGCAGCGGGTGAAACAACGCGAGAGTAGCTAATAAAGAATAATACTACATTAGAAAATTGCTCATCAACAAAAAAAGAAAAGTAAGTTAATATATTCGTATATTTCGATAAATGAGTTCAATCCAAAATTGATAAGTAGCATTTAGCGCCGTGGCTTTGCAGATGACTACCTAGTGAGCAACATGTTACGGTTTCTATTGCCGTACGGAAAAGCAATATTTCTCAAATCTTTGTGTAAAAAAATAACAATTACTAAAACTCTGAGTAGTATAAGAAAAAACAAATATCTAATTGAAAAAATAGACTGTCAAAATAATCAAATTTTTTTGCATGCTATGATGCAGAATTTATTTCGATAAAAATATTTTAACTCCTAATTGTTTTAATTACTTACATACTAAGCAAAATAATATAACCTACCATACTGCAACAAGTCTGTATTCATTAAAAATCCTTGAACTTACAGATTAAAAAAGAAATTCAGCCATTTAATCGAACAGTTAGTCATTCTGTCTAGCGATAGAATGACCAATTAAGCTAACGTTGCATACATCATAATATCTATATATAACTTCGAATAAAGAGCATTCTATTAATTCCATTGCAATAAGGTTGATTTTTCATTAACTTATAATATGAAACCAAACGAAATGCATAACAAATGAAGTAGCAAGCATTTGTTCCTGCCCTAAAGAACTCAACGACCTTATTGCAACTGAAATGGGTTTCTAATTACACTAATGTATTTTAATCACCATGATTTTAATGTTTTACTTTGGTGTACTGCTCGTAGTGATTTAGCTGTTTTTTTTATATTGTCCAAAGTTATGTTTCAGCGTGATAGTTAATAATTGATTGAACACTAACTGTACTGTTCACTGTTGAAAGAAATATATTACTTATGTATCTTATTTTATCTAAGTGATATTATACGCAAAGCGTACTGTTTGTCGCACAGCCCCGGACCGGGACCAAGAGAAGAAAATAATGGGAAATAAGAGTCGGACACTCCCTCTCGTCCTAGGGTGGAAAAAGTCATTCGACAATTTATCTCCTCTCAAAAACAAAAAAAAAATAACGCTCTTTAAAACAAATTACTGAACGAAGCAAAGAGGTTGATTATATTCTAGAAATTAAGGGTTGCAAGCGCTATATGCTCTGAGTTGTTGCCTTGGACCTGAATAAGGATCGTAGTGGATTTAATCAGTAAGAGCCGACTTCCCTCTCCCCCCACTAAAGGCGAAAGTAGCCAGTTGGTAATATCCTTCTCTCCTCATAAAAAAGGAGTACAAAGGTTTTCTTTTTGTGTGAACGATCGGCAAACAAACACTCGCAATACCTGATGGTCAGCAATCGTCGACGATTGCAGTTGATTATGAACATTGATTTTGAAGTTCGAACTTCATAGTCAAAGTCAATGTAAAATATTTTTTTTTAATTAGACCATAATATATATTTATGGACGTCAAACAAAAAAAAAATCAGAGATGCCGATGAAGAATAACGAGAAAGAAACTCCATGGATAAGATAAGTGATTCTATGACCCATTAGGTATTAAATTGGTTCCATTATGTAAGAATAGTGAAACACTAATATTCAGTCAAAGTAACGGAAAGTGAATAAAACCTTAAGGATAATATATTTGAACATGTGACGTACAGGTTGCATGACTGACCAACATTTACAAAGAAAGAGCTAGATTTTTGTAACCCATTTTAGACTTAATTTTAGTCTAAATTCTTTCATACCCTAAAACCTAGTTCAATGACCTGTTATAAAAAGCGAAATGGTATGTTTTTAAAACTTTTTAGTCGAAATAGGCCGCGAAAAAGAATGAAGATTGATTTTAATTGAATTATTTTTCGGTTTTTCGGGTCTTCAGTTGTTCTGGTATTTATGACAATTAATAATTATTTTAGTAGTAGAAAAGTCAGGAGGGGTCAGTGTTAGCGCAATAACGTTCCCAGAAGAGGAGAGGAGGAGTGGTTTTTATTCAGTAAACACTGACATTCACTCTCTCCCCAACCAGGGCGGGAGTACTTTTTTTTAGTGAATGTGAAAATTTCACTCTTGGCTACCAAACTCGAAAGTTTCATTATGCATAAAAGAAGACCATTTTTTACATTTGTACACTAGCATTTTCTTCTGTGTCTTGGTTGCGTTTACAAGCATATAATTTCATATGTAATGTAAACACTTCATACTCAGACCCAGAACAAATTCAAATTTTAATTCAATATATTAAAACAACAATTTGTAGATCACACAAAGAATTATTCCGAACAGGAATATAGCCCGCGACTGGTTTCACGGATTTGTTAAATTGTTGATTGTTGATCAGGACAAATCTATACTTAAAATGATATAAAGCTGAATCTCCAGCTCCGCTTATCTCCAGAACTACTTTTTCGAATTCAACAATTCTATTTGTGTTCGTTAGTCCATTTAGCGATTTTTTATTTTTTATTTTAAGTGATAGGTCGGCAAACGAGCAGACGGATTACCTGATGGTAAGCAATCAGCGCCGCCCATGGACACCCGCAACGGAGGAGTTACGAGTGCGTTGCCGACCTTTTAGGGATTAGGGATTTGGAGATTTAGGGATTAAGGAGGGATTGGGGGAGGGGAAGGATTGGGCCTCCGGTCCTCGAGAAAGGATATAGGCTATAAAACATCACGCTAAGATCTGTATGAGCCGAGCAGCGTATAAAACCACGCGAGAGTAGCTTATACATTTTTTTTTATCTATTTAAATAGAACGACAGACAGAAGCCAATTACACTATTTAAACATTTGTAAACCACATTAACCTATTAGAATAAACAAGAGAAACATATAACAAATAATATAATAAATTCATTAAACATGCACTTTACTCATTTCAGTCACTTATTCTTCTCACAAAACTTCAAACACTCTCACAGTATCGTCTTCCAGTCATCCACAAACACATCGAGATCAGTGTTTGAGTTCAGGAGGGCGTTATTAGCCGCTACTGTCCGAGGAATAGGTGACTTGGAGTGAGCAATAGTTCGGCTGGTCGAAACCACCAACAGCCGATGCCTTCTGCCACGACAGTAATTGTCTGGGACAAACATGTTGCATATATCATTGTGCAGTTCAGGATCATCAATAATCCCTCTAAGTATTTTAAATACTACAGTCATCTGATCGCGCGAACGTCGTACTTCAAGGGAGTTGAAATTTAAGCATCCCAGCAAAAAATTGGTTGGATACAAGTAGGGATAAAATCCGTTCACGTGCTTGTAAAGGTACATAATATAATAAAAATTTTAAATGTAAACGTTACGAAGCAAATATACTAATTCCTAAATAGTGTCAGTCACCTAAAAGCCACGATTTAAATTATATAAAGATTTCATAATCAAATCTACATTGAATCGAGCGTCGAAGGGACGACCTGGAAACACATATCTATTGTTTCGGACCTTTCTTTATTTATGTACTTTATGTATGTAGGGTAAACATTAGTATAATATACTAGCGATCCGTCCTGGCTTCACGTACCATAATTTAGATTCCTACTTTTAGCAATAAATATGGTTGATTATAATCAAGCAAATGCAGCGTTCCAATTGTGAAAAAACTTTTTATTCACTAGTTTTTGTTCCTGGTCTGCGTGTTATGTCCATGTGAAATTGTAAGCTTGTTTGTTAATGCCCTCATAACTCAGAGGGTAGGTAGTACCAATGTGACTTTCTGAGTTTATATGTACTTTCTCAGATTAGATTTAGATATCACTGACATTGTAAGTAAACCTAGAATTTTATTTATAAGACCTTTAGAAGATCTTTAATAATAAGAAGTAACTTGAGAAAACGTGATGATAAATGTTCGAACCTGCTCCCTGCGAAAATAATGTCTTTGCACAGTAGTGGGCACTTATAAACTGACGATGATGGTGGTGAAATATATTATGCCAAGTAAATAGGAAAATAGAGTATATCAAGAAAAAAGATGGATTGATTTGAGATGACGATTTCGTATTGAAGAGAATGGAAAAATTATGTACATATTGTACCAACCTCAAGTAAGTGTGTAGTGACGGGAAAAAAGTTATTTTTTTAATAAAATTGGAGCAAGGCAAACTAGCCGAGTCATCACCTGATTGCAAGTGATCCGCCCATGGATACTTGGAGCACCAAAAAAAGTCACAAGTGACTTGCCGGACTTTTAAGAAAGATTACGCGCCTTTCTTGGTCGGTAAGAGTCGTATCGGTGATCGGTGGCGGTGACCTCTCGCGCCCGGTCGAGGCCATGGTGCGGAGCGAAAGGAACTGGACTCCGTCTCCTTCTTCTGTGAAGCAGTTATGCTCGCAAAGAGAGAGACGGATCGCGTGAGGGAGTAATCCTCTTCCTCACGCCCCAGCCGTCGCAGCAGGCGACACTCCGGGCGTTGGAGATCAAGAGACGATCTGCGGCCACCGTATGCGCGGGTCTGCGGACGGCGACGACCAGAACCAGACCCAAGCGTACGGCACGTAGCGTTCCGCGCGCGCGCCTCATAGAGCCAACAGACCACCTCAGACGGGGCCCTATAGGGCTGATGTTCAGCCAGGGTTGCGGGGTAAGCGCAATGAGGCACCGTGACCTCGGCCCTGAGGGGAACAAATGATTTGGTGATTTTCACAAAAGAAGGGTCGTATCGGTTCGGAAATACTAAATCGCAGAGTTGTTGACTGCCAACCATCCATGTCATGGGGGTGGGTTTTCGCGAGGGACTGTGGCGAAAAGATACTTCAAGTATCAAATCAAACAATCCTCAGAACACTCCCTATTGTGCGATAGAGAATACACAGCGAGTGTAGTGCCGAAGAGTCTAACCGGTGCAAGATAACAAGGCAGACAACGATTTGAAATGAGATTTGTTTGTCGTTAAGTTACAGGATTAAATTTAATAAGTCCAAAAAGTTGCTTTGTCAGTGTATCTTTTAGTAAAATTATTTATAATTTTACTAAAAGATACACACATAAATTTGCTGTTCATGAATATGAGCCCCGGAGCGCGGCTTGAAACTAGCCGAGGTCTTTGGCAAACAATCACTATTACCTAGTGAACAGCGTAATCCCACGAAAGTTGAATACACAAAAAATTGCTTATCCATTCCAAGGTTGATCCTTATGGAGAAGAACGAAAGAAATACCATGACGACGATGGTCGTTACAGCTGCTCGCTCTTGAGTCACAAATTATGTACATAATAACAATTTGATTTTGTTTGTAAATAAACATATTATAGAAGTATTATGTATTTTTCATGGAGATTTATGTACTAAACTATGTAAATAAATATTTTTTTCACGTAATAATTTCACTATTATCAGATAAAATAAAACAATAAAATAATCCGGTTCGTTACTTATGCCATCCATTTTCTAGTTAATTTAATATTCTGATATTAACTATATAATATTTATATACCTACTTTTTCAGCATGTACTAAGACATAAATATATAACTATGGACTCAAAGGGTGGCTTAGTGTCTGCTTTGCAGCATTTCACGAGTTCGATTCGCGCATAGGACAATCCCTTGAGTGATTGCTAAATTGTTGTTTCTCGTATTTGCGTATACCTATTAAGTTATACGAACGTGAAATTGCCGTGAAAGCACCACAGTGTTGAGTTTCGCCGTGTGAGTGAGGTTACCGAAGGTCCATCCTCATCCTTTCCTATCCCAATCCCTAAATTTCCAAAACCCTAATCCCCAAGAGGCCGACAACGCGCTTGTAACCACTATGATGTCTATAGGTGTCTCTCGGATGTCTATAGGTGGCGTTGATTGCTTACCGTCAGTTAGCAGACTGCACGTATACAAAAATCACTAAATCTTCCCTGATGATCTTATTTACAATACCTTTTCAATTTTTCAATAAATTTAGTATAACGTGGCTATTTAGTTATTATAAAAAGGGTAGCGAAACAAAAAAATAACTGTTGCCGAGATGTGTGTGACGACCTTGAACCAATTTTATTCCTAAATGTAAACATCGTTAAGTTATTATTGCATTATTATTCTCCCAGTGTGGTTCATTAATTCACTTTATTATGAATGCTTTTATTCATTTGTTTTTTAAATTAAGTTTACCACACTTTTTGTAGGCTTCATAAAGAGAAAATTCTAATGGAATATACCGCCATTTTGATTGTGTGTTTTAATTGGATTAAATGAGTATATATTTTTTATATTAATTGTCTATCTATATAAATAAAAAAAAAACCCTTCAAATTGAGAACCTCCTACTTTTTTGAAGTCGGTTAAAAATTAAAAATGTATTTTCGCTAGTTTACCAGTCAAATGACTGAATTGAATTGAATAATATATTATTCGTTAACCGGTCAAGACTTTTGTGATACTTTTCTATGAATTTTATGTGAAAATCAATTGTGTGACGTCATCATAGGTATGTGTGCATAAAACAGCATAATTATTTATTAAATTTCAGTTGAAAAAGTTTAGACAAATAGATCGTCCAATAAATCAATAAAACATGATAAATTTCTAAATAAATAAAAGCTAATAAATATTTAGCTTTTTGTGTTTTATTAAATTAACACGCCGGTTTCCAAAAAATCGACAAATTAATCTGGAAATATCACCCTACTGCAGCCAGGGCAGGCCGATACAATCTTTTATGGGAATATTTATCACATTAGAAAAATAATATTTAGATTTTTAACTTAACTAATTAAAAATTTAAAAGTATGGTTTTAAACCATTTTGTAATTGACTAGCTATTCTCGCGCGGTTTCACCCGCTGTTCAGTCCTATTTAATCGTAGCGTGATATTTTATAGCCTATAGCACTAGGGGGTAATGTTTGGAACCGCTGGTCAGATTTCCAAAATTCTTTCACAGGTAGATAGCTACAATGTTCTTGAGTGCTATAGGCTAAAAAAACATCACACTACGATCAAATGGAGCCGAGCAGAGCGGGTGAAACCGCGCGAGATTAGCTAGTAGACAATCACTTCACAAATCACAACATATATGTAGTATATAAATATGAAAAATTCAAAAATAATAATTCATAAAAACTGGCCTCATAATATAAAAAAAAAATGTATGTCATATCTATTAAAGATGAAAAAAAGAAATATAAGACTGTATACATAATAATCCGCTATACCAAGCAATGTCTCATGAATCCTAAGGAAATAAAATGGAAAAAAGTTTGCTTAATATAAATTTGTTTCCCGTCTCGCCAGACAGACTGTCGCTCGGCGAAGTCTAGTCTCAGGGGTGGAATATCGCTTTAGGTAACCACCGAGCCGTTTACCCTTGAGGATCGATCGTAAATTATAAAGGTTTATGGCAGAGCACATGCTCAAACGTATATTTTAGGGTTTGTGTTTGTAATACATATTTATAGCTTCGTAACACAAGTTTAGATTAGTAGTAGTGCCTAGTATTTTTATTCATAACACTTTTTATTTATAGTAATAATCTATATATAAATAAAAATCAATGCAACTTTTCCATGTAATGTTATAACTCAACAATGCCTCTACTGATTTAACTAATTTTAATCTTGAGTTATTCGTGGAAGTCTAGGGAAGGTTTGTACCTAGGGAAAATTGAAATAAACAAACTTGATAAAGTGTAAAATCGACATAGCCGTGGTCGGAGCCGCAGGCTACCGCTAGATATGTATAACACACGTTTCTCTCGCTGCTCAAATTCTAATGGCAGTAGCGTAATGATATCTTTAAAGCCTTCTTTGATAAAGAACTACAAAACGAATTTTCCATTTCGAACCATTATGTCCAGAGATTAGTGCGTTCGAGCAAACAAACAAAGTCTTCAGCTTTATAATATTAGTATAGATGAAAGTAATTTTTTTTTCTCAAAACGTGAATTATTATATTATTGTTTTCTTGTGTAATTACCAGAACATTAATCTTTAAGTACACACATGTATGCTAATTTAATAGCAAAGGCCCTTCAGAAATGATATGCTTATTAGATATCATCCACATTTTGGACAAGAGGAAAAGATACTCTAAAAAATATTATACATTCAATAAAATGTCATCGCTAATCACTAAATAAATACGCATTTATTTTATCAAATATAGAGCAAAATATTTATGGAAATACATTTTTCGTTTGTGCGAAGTTTATGCCAAACTCAACTCAATCTATTTTATGTAAGGTTAAAAATTCGACGTACACAGAACGTATCTAATGATAATGACAGTGTTCCCAAAAAAGTATGAACATTAACTATCATACAGCACTTAGCCAAATCACTTTTA